AATAAATAAATAAAAAGGATTTTTTTGTAATTCAATTTGTTAAGACAAATATAAAATACATTAAAAAATTAAAAGGAAGTAAAAAGATTGAAAGTAGCAAAATAAAAATTTAGAAAACATAAAAGAAAATAATAATGCTTCTGAATAGTCCTTGAAAAGTTCATGGCTTGAGAGTGTGGTTCCACCTGCAGGTCAACCTGTACCTGCGGGGTGAGTGCATTAGCAGCCTGATGGTGCCTTCAAGCATCCTGATACCACAAAATTGCTGCTGTGCCTATGACCAGACCCCAATAACTTGGGATCAAGTTTACCAAGAAATTAAATGGCCAGAAGTTAGGTATGTGGGAGCCACACCCGCAAAACACCTTCGGCTCAGCTATACAAGCTCATTTAAAGGCCTGACTTCAGAGATCCTTAGATAAACTTTGAAAGAGATCAAAACCACAGTTAATCTCGGACCTACACATGGCTGGACAGACTGGGGTATATCAGAGAGGGGCAGGTTGGCCTGATGACCTGCCCAAGCAGAGCCCCCAGCAGCCTCTTGCTTCCACAATTCAAAATCGCTGCCATATCCCTGGCCTGACTCCACCGTCTCAGGACAGACTTCACCAAGATATAATCTAAAAATTCTGGTATCCGGGTTCTGTCACTCATATCTCCAGGATTTCTCAGAGTTGGGGTGGGCTACCTTCCCCCACTTCCCAATACACATGAAAGCACTGCACTTACCCGAGTGAACCAACTCCAGTGCCACCCTGAAAGCTCTACTGCCAACCTTGCTTCAGAGACCCCTAAATAAATCTAGCAGATCAAAAGCTGCAGAAAAACTCGGATCCATGTATGGCTGAACAGACCTGGGTAAATTGGAGGGGGTGGGTTGACCTTCACTCGCCCAAGCAGAGCCCCTGGCAGCTAATTGCTTCCACAATTCAAAATTGGTGCCCCAGCCTAAGTCTACCGTCTCAGGATGGACCTCACCAAGATAAAATCTGCTGAAAAAATTGTAATGTGGATCTTAGCGCACCAATAGCCCAGACCCAGAGACATAGCAGCAAGTCCCAGAAGACACCACAACACTGGAGATCTCTCCGAGCCCCATACTGAGCCAGTTTCATTGGGGCACCCCAGATGGAGCAGGTACAGTCTCCTCGCCTACTCCAGATGGAAATTCCGTGACCAAGAGCTTCCTCAAGCAAGGCCCAGGTTTGCAGATTTCAGGACTAAATCTCCAGGCCACATGGCAGCAGAGGCCCCGGGTTGTCCCTCCCCGGCTCCCCACCCGCCCAGTAGACTGACTGTCACACTCTCAATTTGCCTCTGGACCATCTTAGCACAAAAACAGCACTGACCCAGAGACACCAGAGTGCCAGAGATCCCAGAAGACACCAGAGTGCCAAAGATCTCTCCAGGCCCCATACTGAGCCAGTATCACCAGGGCATCCTAGATGGAGCAAGTGCAGTCTACCTGCCTACTCCAGATGGAATCCCCATGACCAAGAGCTTCCACAAGCAAGGCCCAGGTATGAGGGTTCCAGGACTAAATCTCCAGCCCTCATGGGGGCAGAGGACCTGGGTTGTCCCTCCCAGGATCCCTGCCTGCCCAGCAGACTTGCTGTCACGCCCATAATTTGCCTCAGCTTCTGTCTTAGCCCTGGCCCAGAGACTCCCAGTTGAATCCCAAAATGTATTAGTGCCATACAGACATGTCTCTGGAATCCAATCATTTACTATCTAGAAATTTACATTTACAGTTGCAACCATGCGTGCTCTCATGATACTCAAAATGAGCAATGGAAAAAAATTATCTAGTGTCTGCTCCTGGCAGGTAGACTTGAATGGTGGTGGGAAATTTTGAGCAAAACATAATGCCCAAAATTAGACAGTATTGGGGAAGTTGTCATAGAGGCAGGGTAAGGACTGGGATGTGGGTGGTGGAAATTGTCCACTTGTGGAGGGATGGGTGTTCCATCATTTTATGGCTAAATCTCAAACATGAAAGCTTCCTAACTCTGTCTCACGGGATATAATTTAAAAAAAAAAGTAATGTAGAATTCATGCCCAATTCAATCAACTTAACCAATGGCTGAACAAATACCAGTACTCCTACATTATTTAAAAAAGAAAAGAAAAGAAAAGTCCGTGGCTTTCCTATATACAAATTATGAAAGAGTAGTGATGGTAAAGGGAAAAAACAATAGCAACAACAACAATCCAGTTAACCATTGTGCCTTGGGAAATCTAGTACCTCGGAATCTCCTTAACTACAGAGGTGTAGGTCCGATGCAAAGAAAAGTACAAGACATAAAAGGGGACAGACGGAAATGTATTCATATACCCTGCTCATAAGTTGAGAGTATTAATATTGTCAAGATGGCAATAGTCCCCAAAGCATTATACAGATTCAATGTGATCACTATAAGGATACCCATGAAATTTTTCATAGAAATAGACTAACCACTCCTGAAATTCATATGGAACAAAACCCACTTACAAATAGCTACAGCAATCCTTGGGAAAAATAATAGGGGATACATCACCTTCCCCAACTTCAAACTATACTACAAAGTGATAGTAATTAAAACAGCATGGAAGTGGAATAAAGACAGACCCTCTGATCAATGGAATAGAGTTGAATATCCTGGCATTCACTCTCGAATATATGATCATTTAATCTTTAATAAAGGTGCAAGAAATAAGTGGGGCAAGGAAAGCCTATTCAACAAGTGGTGTTGGGGGAATTGGGCAGCTACATCTAAAAAAGTTAACTCTACCTTAAACAAAAGTCAGAAGAAAATGAATTATAGCCCTCAACATCAGACCTGAATCCATGTACATGGAGAAAAATGTACGCAGAATCCTCCATGACATTGAAGTTAAAGGCATCTTCAAAGATTCAACACCACTGACCAAGTAAGTGGAAGAAAAGATAAACAAATGGGACTGCATTAAACTAAAAAGCTCCTGCACCTCCAAGAAACAGTGACCGAGATACAAAAGCAGCCCACAGAATGGGAAAAATTATTTATTGAGTACCCATTAGATAAGGGGTTAATGTCCAAGATATGTAAAGTACTCATAGAACTTTACAAGAAAAAATGTTCAACCCCATCAAAAAAGTCAGGAGAAGAAATGAACAGAAACTTCCTCAAAAAAAAAAAAATTCGAATGGTCAAAAGGCACATAACAATGCGCTACATCACAATAATTACCAGGAATGTGCAAATCAAAGTGACTTGACACTGAGATATCATCTCACACCAGTTTGGCACACATTAATAATAACAAAAGCATCCAGTGCTGGCACGCATGCAGGGACAAAGGGACTCTCATTCATTGTTGGTGGGAATGTCTACTGCCTTTATGGAAAACTATATGAGCATTTCTAAAAAAAAAACTAGAAATTGAGCTCCCATTTGACCCAGCAATACCACTTCTGTGAATATATCCTGGGGCCCCAAAACACACAGCAGAAACACCGTCTGCATTCATGTGTTCATTGCAGCACTGTTCACCATAGCCAGAATCTAGATACAACCTGAGTGCCCGAGAACAGAGGAATAGATAAAGAGTCAATGATGCGTCTACACAATGGAGATACACTATGCAGCTGTTAGGGAAAAAAAAGAAATCATGAGATTTGCTTATAAATAGATGAACATGGAGACTATCATGGTTAGTTAAATGAGTCAGAAGGAAAGGGGCAGATATAAAATAACTGCATTCATTTATGGGATATTTTTTTTAAAAAAGTATGAGACTAATATTAAAGGCCAGGAAGAACGGGCCAGGCTGACTGGTTAATGGTTTGAAGCTTGCCACAAATGTAGTTTTTTGAGGTGAGTATGGGGATGCAGCAAAGGGTAGTTAAGAGAGAGAAGGTTCCAATATGACATTAATAGTTAGAAATGATCACTTTGTGCAAGAACTTAGTATTGAAAGTAGGTAAAGGGATATACATGATAACCTTTCAGTATGTGTATTGCAAACCATAATGCCCTAAAGGAGGGAAAGAGGGTAGCAGGAAAGTGGGGTGGGAGGAAAACTGGGGATATTGGTGTAGGAAATATACATTGGTCAAGGCATGTTGTTGGAACTTTTTTTTTTTAAGTAAAAGGGGGGACCTAATATGGCAGGCTTCTACAAATGTAACAGAAATGAGAACATATAAAGAAATAAGAAGTCAGCCAGATAGGAATTAAAAAATAAATTAAAAAACAGCTAATAATTATTTTGGCAACAGGGGAGAGAGTTCAAAGGCTATGGGACCTCCTGTGATTCCTGGCACTACATGGTGTTTATCCCTCTACAACTTGTATGACCTAGGAGGTTCTGGAGTATTTCCAGGGTGACTCTGGTAGCCCCTGCATAGCTAGACCTGGGTAGTACAGCATTACCAAGCCACACATTGAACTTTTAGGGGAATACTGCTAGGACTGGTTCCTTGAGCACTGTTTAGGTGGCATAAAATAAAAGCTTAAATACAATAAAAGGGTGATTTTTACCTTTTTATACCTATTTTAAATTGCAGTGATAACAAACCTTGTAAATTATGATTTATCTCAAAACTATGAGAATAAAAGTCTAATGCATGCAGGATTGTTAGAGAAATTGGAAAGATGATCAATCAGGTCTAATGATGATTATGATAATTAAGGGTTTTGTTTAATTTTTTTTAATCTACAGAGCCCTTCTGTTGTAATCCGATTCTGCCAACTACTCACATCATTATTTGAATGTGTCCAACTTACTTTACCTTTGTGAGTAAATGAATGGACCAGTGAAGTGAGTGCTTGTGTGCTGTAGGGAAGATAAAACAGCCTTCTCACAGGTTATCACAGATGAAAGTAGTTGATAAATGTGAAGTTGTTAGCATAGGAGCTATTACATAGTGAGCATTTGTTAAAAGTAGGTACTGTTATTAAGTATTTTATAGTGTATGGGAATCAGCGTTGTGATTAATGAGCGATCTTTTGATAGATACATAATTTGTTTTATAGGTTATCCTGATCCAGAAAATTTCTCTTGGACAGAGTATTTAAAAGCTACTCAAACGAAAGCAGTTCCTGCCAAAGGTTTTAAAAGGGTAAGTTTGTATAAGCATATATTCAGAACACACACACACACACACACACACACACACACACACACACACACAGTTACTGAAGCCTGTCTTCATCTGGCAATTTAATATTATCCTAGTTTTATTCTTTTTAAATGCAAGTGTGATTTTCATAATCAGTTTGCCTACTTTCAGATACTACAAAGAAATAGGCCACAGGCTTTGTACGTAGCCCACCCAGGCTTGATCCCTAGAACCCTGTTTGGCTCTCCCCAGCCTGCCAGGAATGATCCCTGAGCACAGCCAGGAATAAGCCTTGATTATCACCAGACGTGTTCCCAAAACAAAAACTCAACCAAACAGACAAATGAAGGGAACCATGCTACTGTTTTTTCCTTTATACAAATAATAGATGATGCTTTCCCCTCCTTGGAAAGCACAGTAGCCCCACGTTAGAGTGCTGTTGATTGAGTCTCCTTTGTGGTTCTATTAGGCCACTAAGTGGGATCTCTGAGCTTTCAGTTTCAAGAACTGTTTGAATGCTAATGCTGCCGCATATGAGACTCTTTATTTCAGTGTCATCTATTTTGAAGGAATACTGCTTTTGAGGGCTGGAGCGATAGCACAGCAGTAGAGCATTTGCCTTGCGCGCAGCCAGCCCGTCAGAGCCGGGTTCGATTTCTCTGCCCCTCTCGGAGAGCCCAGCAAGCTGCCGAGAGTATCTCACCCACACAGCAAAGCCTGGCAAGCTACCCGTGACGTATTCGATATGCCAAACACAGTAAGAACAACTCTCACGATGGAGACGTTACTGAGCCCCCACGAACAAATCGATGAACAATGGGAGGACAGTGACAGTGACTGCTTTGGGTATTAGTTAGAATACCTATTGTTAAAACTTTAAATTTCTACGTGTATATTTAATCCAGGACTGAACTAAGCATAAATTATTTGGTAAAATAAAGTTCAATGATCGTACTCTTGGAGATAGATATGTGCTAGTTCCTATTAAACTCTAAATGTGGGCTTCAGACTCTGACGTGTCTTGAACCAGAACATAGAATGTGCTTTTATATTTTATTTCTGTGTTATAACCACTGAACATTGAAGTGTGCTTGTCATGACAGGTGGAGGAAGGAGAGTGGAATAGGGAGGCAGGAGGAAGCATGAGAACACTGATAGAGGGACATCAGCACTGTGGCGGGATTGGTGTTGGAATACTATGTGCCTTAAATCTGTCTATCAAGTTCTCTAATTAAATGAAAATTAAAAATAATAAAATTGTAAAAATATTAATTATTTAAAATATTTCTTTAAAACTATTGATGAAAATAGTCTTGGTTTAGTGGAAGAAGTATAATCAGAATTAAAAGCTATAAGTTCTCAAGTGCTAAAAACGATTTTACTAACAGCAAAAATTTCAGTAAGCAAAATTACCAGCTGCTAAAAGTTTCTTATCAAAACCTCATTTTAATTTTCCAAGAAGAAAATTAGAACGATGTGGAATTATAAAAATATTTAGATAGAAGAAAATTACTAACTACAGGGGTTATTATGGATTCACCTCAAGCTGTGTATCATTGGCATCTCCAAAAGAAAACAATTGCTATGTTGTCAGGATACTGACCTTGGGGAACACAAAGATTTTCAGGGAGCAGAGACCTAATTATTATCAGTGTCTTCCATTTAATGATGTAATGAACTATATTTGAAAGAAATCTGTTTCTGCAAAAGCTGGAAACAGACCATACATTGGAGAAATGTTTAACTGTTTATTACTCACATATTACATGAGGGAACTTATATTCCTTTTGCTCTTTATAAATTTAAGCATATAATATACTTTCATTTTCAATAAAATCAATTGTCAATTCTATGTGTACTAACTTTCAGAATGAAACTTTTTGCCAGCCATTTAAGCACTGTCAGAATTGTCTTTTGACTTTTGATTTTTGATGTTAAAGTTTTCATAATTTGAATCATTTTGAATATCATCATGCATTTCCCCCCACCATTTATCGAAATGTTTCTAGATGTTCATTATGATAGATTTCTGGTCCCACGCATTTTATTCCTGGAAAACACTTTGAGTTAATATTTTAACATGCTTATGTTATAGGAAGTAATGAGAGAGAAGCTTTACACTGTGATGTGGTGTGACTTTACCACAGTTTAATGGCCAAAATGATATAGTTTTTATCTGGGTATATTATAAAATTTATTTTTGTAAAGGATATGTTTATTATTTCTAATTGTTGGTAATTTTGCTTTCTTTTGCATTGAAGATGCAAAACACTCTAGAAAGAAAATACCTATATAATTGGTGCTCTAATAAATTCCTTTGAACTTTGTGATTATTAGTGAATTTATTTATGATTTCACCTATCTTTGTCTTTTCTCTCTTGCACGTGATCAGAAAATATTCTTTCCTTGGGTTTTTAATGAAACTGGATATAACAAGATTAGAGTCTTCAGTGATCTTAAAATCACTTTTCAGTAGTATTGATGTTCTGATTGTAAAACTAGAAGAATAGTGTTTTAGAAAAATATAGCAGTGAATCAGAATTGATCAATTTTGAAATAACTGACTGTACTTACAATATTACAGCGGTTTACTCATGGTTTTCTACCAAATATGAAACTTGAAGTTGTGGATAAACGAAACCCTCGATTAATTCGTGTTGCAACTATCCTGGATGTTGATAACCAAAGACTAAAGGTACACATTTTAGATTATTACAGAATTATATTGGCATTTCTGCCTGGATTTTCCTAGACGCAAGTCATAGAGGCTGCAATTTATTGGCATAAAACTTTAAATGACTTTATTTCTCTTCCCATCTTTGGTTAGAGAGATTTACTGATATGTAAAGGAAAGACGTACTTTTACTGACATATATGGAAAAGGAAGCCTGTAGATCAAACTCTTATTGTGAGAGGGGTCCTAATACATTCCTGCCTGTATTTTTTGTACTTGATACAAAATTTTGCCTCTTTTTGAAAGAAATCTTGTTGTGAGTATACGCAGGTTTTTCATGAAAGTGTTGTCTTTAAATATTTTAAGTTTGTTTTCTTTGTCAGATCAAGATTAAATCAAGAGACGAAATCACGAACTTTGCTTATAAATAGATAGACATGAAGAGCATCATGCTAAGTGAAATGAGTCACAAAGAGAGGGACAGACATAGAAGGACTGCACTCATTTGTGGAGTATAAAACAGCATAACATGAGGCTGACACCTAAGGATTGTAGATACACAGGACAGGTAGATTGCTCCATAGCTGGAAGCTTGCCTCATGAGCAAGTGGAGAAGGCAGCTAGAATAGAGAAGGGATCACTAAGAAAATGATGGCTGGAGGAATCGGTCAAGATAGGAGATGTGTGCAGAAAGTAGATAAAGGAACAAACAGGATGGCCTCTCAGTAGCTATATAGCAAAACGATGCCCAAAAGTAGAAAGAAAGTATGGGGAAAATTGTCTGCCATGGAGGTATGGGAGGGTGGGAAAGAGAGGGTATACCGGAGATATTGGTGGTGGGGAATGTGCACTGGTGGAGGGATGGGTGTTTGAACATTGTGTGAGTGTAACCCAAACATGAAAGCTTGTCACTATCTCACGGTGATTCAATAAAATTTAATAAAAAAGAGTAAATCAATAAGAGCACTGTAGTAATTTAGCTAAAACAAAAATAAAAGTCAGCTTAACAGATTTTTGTACCGGCCATCTTATAGCCTCTGTTTGGTTGGTTTGGTCTGAATTTTCCAGCAGTGCCTGAAACCACATGGAAGGTTCATGGAAGTTCATGGAAGGCCATACTGTACAGGGACTCAGGGTTGGGACCTTATGCATTCCAGATATGCACTCAAGCCCTTGTAGCCATCTTCCTGATCTGAAATCTGAGTTCTAGAAAATACCTACATTTTTAAGATCTGATTTTTTTTTTTGATGAAAGCTTTACATTTCTAATATGGAGAGCTGGGAGTTTCTGTAGAATTCAATAATTATATTATCTGTAACAGTTCACATATTATTTTTACCAAAGGAGTTTATTTTCATGACATTAAAAAGACTGGTCAGCTAAGTTTAACATAGGTGATTGTGTAAGATTTATTTAAATTTGATATACAGTTGACATGTTCTAAAATAAATTCTGTTTTCTATTTAAAAACTTGTTCTAATTCATCTGATGACAGTGTCCTTTAAGTGAAACAATGAACTGTGTTAAACAGTGTTCAGGTAATTCTATGAATCTTCTTATACTGTGTGATTTGAAATTTAAATTTCAGCACATAGCTTAAATTCTTGGTTATGGCCTTTTTGTTATATATTCTTATGGCTCTGTGGGTAAGTGATATCTAAATGGATAATCTTTTGTATGATCATACTTACTTTGTAAATTCATCACTCTCATTGGTGCTTGGTGGACAGTAGCGGGTGCATGGGATCCAATCCAGATTGGCTGCATGCACGGAAAGCCCCTTCCCCACTGTAAGATCTCTCCAGCTCCTATTGAAGGTATTATTAAATAATTTTATCACCAAAATTAAAGTCCACAAGTTAAAAGTTTGCAACCATTGTTTCCCAAAATTAAGTTAAAACACTAATTTCTGATTTTCATAGATTGAAAACATCAGATCTTGTGCCCAAGTTATTCACCCTGGATATTTAATTCATCTTCCTGAAAATGTCCAGAGATGCAAGTTACCAAAATCAATTATGTATAGAATGACCTCTTCCCATTCCCCAAATAAAGATCAGCAATATTCATTCTGTTCCTGCTTAGTCTAGATTGTGAAGACCATGCTACTGACCCATAATACTTAATATATGTATTAATGAATGAATGAGCAAGTGCAGGAGTGAATGATAATCATGCACTTTGGCATTCTGTTTAATGAATGAAATAATTATAGTCAAAAAGTACTCTTTCATTCTTTATTTCTTTCCTAATTGCTATTTTATTTTTTTTTTAAGTAGGAGTACTGCTATTTATTCAGCTACTGATTAGCTGATTGAATTGGGCATGAACTCCACCTTACTTTTTTTTCATAATTTTATTTTTTTCTTCTTATATTTATCTATTGAATAACTGTGGGAAAAGTTACAAAGCTTTCAGGTTTAAGTCTCAGTCATACAATGATCAAACACCTTTCCCTTCACCAGTACTCATTTTTCACCACCAGGAACCCCAATATACCCCCATCCTACCCCTCCCAATGCCTGTGAGGCAGATGATTTCTACTTAACCCTTCTCTGCATTGATTACATTCATTATTTCAACAAAAGATGCACCATTATTGTTCAGAATTCCCCCCCCCAACACTCATAATTGCTGAAAAGGCATTGTGAAATACTTTGTTTTCTGTAGTTGGTTATGAGAATCATATAATGATTTTAGATTTCTGCAAAGAGCCAGATAATTACGAGATTGGTTTCTATGCATCTGGTGTTATGGCTGTGCCGGAGAGCAGCTCGTGGGGGTCAACTCGTCACCTCGGTAGAGCATGAAGGACGAGCCGGTACTGCCCCCCTTCCCATGAGACTGCAGTTACACCATCACCACCAGCTCATACCTGGCTTTCCAATAAGCTCTAAGGTGGCGGCCACCTTGCTGCTGGGGGGAAAAAGGCAGAAGAGAGCATCACCCTTTCCCTCACAGGGAGGCATGGTGCCGTAGTTTACCGCATGGTCCATTCACTTCTCTGCCGCAAGCTGTCGGGCTCTGGACTAAGTCCTTTTGCCTCTGGAGCCATGGCTGTGCTGGAGAGCTGCACGTGGGGGCAACTTGTGACCTCAGTAGGGTGTGAAGGACGAGCTGGTACTGCCCCCCTTCCCATGAGACTGCAATTGCCCCGTCACCGCTGGCCATACCTGGCTTTCCAATAAGCTCTGAGGTGGTGGCCACCTTGTATGCGGTCCAGATGCATTTCTGCTAAGAACCGCTGGGTTTCAAGATTTGTTTCTGAGTCTCTGGGATCATGGCCGTAAATCAGCTTCAACAGGAGCCAGAGAGGCTGTTTGTAGGCGGTGACTCAGGGTCTTGTTGGGATGGGGAGGAAAGGGCTGGTTCCACCCCCATCTGTGAGGCCCTGCGTGTCTCGTCACTGCCGGCCCAAACCTGTCCAGTGGCCTCTGGAGGATGGTGGTCACCGGGCCGCCAAGGGGAACAGGCCAAGGCATGAAACCTATTCCCACCGGAGTGGCCCAGCACCAGTAACCAACTGCAGGAACAGTACGCATTTCTGCCAAAAGCCTTTGTGTTCCGAGATTTCTTTTTGAGTCTCTGGGATCATGGCCATTAAGCAGTTCAATCAGGAACCAGAGAGGCAATGCCTCCAATTATATAGCTGGGCCTGGGTGTGTCTCCCACATACCTAACTTTTGGCCGTTTACTTTCTGGTAAACTTTGCCCCAAGTTTTTGGGGTCTGGCCAGAGGCACAGCAGTAATTTAGGGGTATCTGAAAGTCTGACGGTGCCATCAGGCTGCTGCTGCACTCGCCTCACAGGTACAGATTGACCTGGCGGCACCATAACCCCTGTGCTCTTTCATTTTGAATCAGATACAACATAGTGTACTGGAAAGTGCAATAGGATTAATTTGTCAGGGTTTGCATTCCAGCTCTGACCTTATTTAACTTTCATTTGCTTCATGAAGTCACTCAGCTTATTTAAAATTTGATGGTATCCACAATGCTTCCCTTATCAGCTTATGGACTTGAGTGGATTAAAGTGTGTGAAATTCCTGAAACTGTGCCTTACTGTTTTCTAGGTTCTCCAGTGGTAGCAAAACTGACTTCTTTTAGTACAAATGCCCTCTCTGTGAGCGCCTTTGTTTTTGGTGTTAGTGAAAGAGCTTGAAGGAAGTAATTGTAAGTAGAGGGAGAAGGAACACAGTAACAACAAAGTCTCCAATGGAGACGTTACTGGGCCCGCTCAAGCAAATCGATGATCAACGGGAGGGTCCACATACAATTGTGGTTAAAAAAGAGGCAGGGAGGTAGAATTTTCCTGAGGAATGCTAATGTGAATTTATATTATTGTTCTGCATTCCCATTCGACTTAAGATGCGGTTCAGCCTCTGTATTGAAGACAGTGCTAAAAAGTGTTGATAAAGGTTAACTTTTTTTTTGGGGGGGGGGGTCAGACTATCTTTTAAGAGCTTTACGTGTATTATTGTATCTATACAGAAAGTGTGACATAAAGTAGTACTGCACTGCACTGTTCTCCCATTGATCATCAATTTGCTCGAGTGGGCACCAATAACGTCTCCATTGTGAGACTTGTTCTTACTCTTTTTGGCATATCAAATACGTCATGAGTAGCTTGCCAGGCTTTGCTGTGCGGGCAGGATACTCTTGGTAGCTTTCTGGGCTCTCCAAGGGGGCAGAGGAATTGAACCTGGGTCAGCAAACACCCTACTCACAGCAAACACCCTATTTATAGGCTCTGGCCCTATGACATAAGGTACTTCTACTATACTCATTTTATAGAGCAGGAGTTGAAGCCCGGAGGGTCCAAAATCACAAACCAGTACTTGGGGTAGCCAGATTTATAAACCCTAACTTTGATGCATAGGTTTTCATCTCTAGAGGGTATAGTCTTCCCACTCCTTGTCTTACACTCTAGTTTTCAGAACCAGAGTGTGGGAGAACAGGGTTGAGGATGGGCCGTGGTACTCTCCTGGAAGCCCTTTCTACTTTCTCTTTTGTCCTGAACC